GAGCACCTGGATGGGCCCCAGAACATCTGGATACCCCCGGGAACACCTGGATGGGCCCCTGGAACACCTGGATACCCCCTGGAACACCTGGATACCCTCAGGGATCAGGAATTGTCCCCCCTGGAACACCTGGATGGGCCCCGGGAACACCTGGATGGGGCCCAGAACATCTGGATACCCTCGGGAACACCTGGATACCCCCTGGAACATCTGGATACCCTCAGGAACATCTCGATGTGCCCTCAGGAACACCTGGATACCTCTGGGAACACCTGGATACCCCCGGGAACACCTGGATGTGACCCCAGGAACACCTGGATACCCCCGGGAACACATGGATAGCCCCGGGAACAGCTGGATACCCCTGGAACACCTGGATGTGACCCCAGCAACACCTGGATGTGCCTCAGGAACACCTGGATGTGACCCCGGGAACACCTGGATGTGCCCCAGAACAGCTGGATGGGCCCCGGAACATCTGGATACCCCTTGGGAACATCTGGATGTGACCCCAGGAACACCTGGATGGGCCCCAGGAACACCTGGATGGGCCCCAGAACATCTGGATACCCCCAGGAACACGTGGATGGGCCCCTGGAACACCTGGATACCTTCAGGGATCAGGACTTGCCCCCCCAGGAACACCTGGATACCCCCAGGAACACCCTTGAGAACACCTGGATGTGCCCCTGGAACACCTAGATACCCCTGGGAACACCTGGATACCCTCGGGAACATCTGGATGTGCCCCTGGGAACACCTGGATACCCTCAAGGATCAGGAATTGTCCCCCTGGGAACACCTGGATGGGCCCCAGAATTCCCAAATCCCGTTTTTCCCACGGAAATCCCTCGGATGTCACCCCGGGACATCCCCGGAATTCCCAAATCCCGTTTTTCCCGCGGAATTTCACCTGACGGCGTGGGCGATGTCCCAGTTGGCCTCCAGGGTCAGGGGCCCCTCCAGCTCCACCCCCTTCTCCGTCACCACGGCAACCTCGTACTGCGGGAAAAACACGGAATAACTCAAATTCCCGCCCGGAATTCCAGGGGAAAAACACGGAATAACTCAAATTCCCAGCCGGAATTCCACAGGAAAAACACGGAATAACACAGGAAAAACACGGAATAACTCAAATTCCCACCCGGAATTCCTCAAATTCCCGCCCGGAATTCCAGGGGAAAAACACGGAATAACTCAAATTCCCGCCTGGAATTCCTCACTTCCCACCTGGAATTCCTCAATTCCCACCTGGAATTCCTAAATTCCCACCCGGAATTCCATGGGAAAAACACGGAATAACTCAAATTCCCACCCGGAATTCCTCAAATTCCCACCCAGAATTCCTCAATTCCCACCCGGAATTCCTCAATTCCCACCCGGAATTCATCAATTCCCGCCTGGAATTCAATTCCCACCTGGAATTCCACGGGAAAAACATGGAATTCCTCAAATTCCCGCCCGGAATTCCACGGGAAAAACACGGAATAACTCAAATTCCCACCTGGAATTCCTCAATTCCCATCCAGAATTCCACAGGAAAAACACGGAATAACTCAAATTCCTGCCCGGAATTCCACGGGAAAAACACGGAATAACTCAAATTCCCAGCCGGAATTCCATGGGAAAAACACGGAATAACTCAAATTCCCACCCGGAATTCCACGGGAAAAACACGGAATAACTCAAATTCCCACCCGGAATTCCTCAATTCCCAGCCGGAATTCATCAATTCCCGCCTGGAATTCCATGGGAAAAACACGGAATAACTCAAATTCCCACCCGGAATTCCTCAATTCCCACTCGGAATTCCGCGGGGTAAAAAACCACCAGAAATCCCATGGGGAAAATCCCTGGAATTCCACGGGAGAGAACGGAAATTCCACAGAAAAAACACCTGAAATCCCACGGGAAAAAACCCTGGAATTCTTCAATTCCCACCCGGAATTCCATGGGAAAAAACACTGGAAATTCCACAGGAAAAACCCTGGAATTCTTCAATTCCCACCTTGGAATTGAGCAGGAAAAAACCGTCAGGATTTTGGGATGGATTTTGGGATGGATTCCCGGGATTTGGGGATGGATTTTGGGATGGATTCCCAGGATTTGGGGATGGATTTTGGGATGGATTCCCGGGATTTTGGGATAATTTTGGGATGGATCCTGTGAATTTTGGGATAATTTTGGGATACAAACCCTGCTGAAGGAGCGAGCGGGATCGGGATGGATCCCATGGATTTGGGATGGATTTGGGGATGGATTTTGGGATGGATCCCATGGATTTGGGATGGATTTGGGGATGGATTCCCAGGATTTGGGATGGATCCCATGGATTTTGGGATGAATTCCCGGGATTTTGGGATGGATTTTGGGATGCAAACCCTGCTGAAGGAGCGAGCAGGATCGGGATGGATTCCCAGGATTTGGGGATGGATCCCAGGGATTTTGGGATGGATTTGGGATGGATTCCCGGGATTTTGGGATGGGTTTGGGATGATTTTGGGATAATTTTGGGATACAAACCCTGCTGAAGGAGCGAGCGGGATCGGGATGGATCCCATGGATTTGGGATGGATTTGGGATGGATCCCATGGATTTGGGATGGATCCCATGGATTTGGGGATGGATTTGGGATGGATTTGGGATGGATTTGGGATGGATTCCCAGGATTTTGGGATGGGTTTTGGGATGGATTTAGGATGGATTTTGGGATACAAACCCTGTTGAAGGAGCGAGCAGGATCGGGATGGATTCCCAGGGATTTGGGATGGATCCCATGGATTTGGGATGGATTCCCGGGATTTTGGGATGGATTCCCGGGATTTTGGGATGGGTTTGGGATGGATTTGGGATGATTTTGGGATACAAACCCTGTTGAAGGAGCGAGCATCCCGGTAGTAGAGCACGCGCAGGCAGCGCTGCGGGATCGGGATGGATCCCAGGGATTTGGGGATGGATTTGGGATGGATTCCCGGGATTTTGGGATGGATTTGGGATGGATTTGGGATGATTTTGGGATACAAACCCTGTTGAAGGAGCGAGCGTCCCGGTAGTAGAGCACGCGCAGGCAGCGCTGCGGGATCGGGATGGAGCCCAGGGATTTGGGGATGGATCCCAGGATTTTGGGATGGATTTGGGATGGATCCCATGGATTTGGGATGGATTTGGGACGAATTCCCGAGATTTTGGGACACAAACCCTGTTGAAGGAGCGAGCGTCCCGGTAGTAGAGCACACGCAGGCAGCGCTGCGGGATCGGGATGGATCCCAGGGATTTGGGGATGGATTTGGGATGGATCCCATGGATTTTGGGATGGGTTTGGGATGGATCCCAGGGATTTTGGGATGGATTTTGGGATGGGTTTGGGATGGATTTGGGATGATTTTGGGATACAAACCCTGTTGAAGGAGCGAGCGTCCCGGTAGTAGAGCACGCGCAGGCAGCGCTGCGGGATCGGGATGGATCCCAGGATTTTGGGGATGGATTTGGGATGGATTCCTGGGATTTTGGGGATGGATTTGGGATGGGTTTGGGATGATTTTGGGATACAAACCCTGTTGAAGGAGCGAGCATCCCGGTAGTAGAGCACGCGCAGGCAGCGCTCCAGCAGCTCCCGCGCCTCCTCCCGGCTCGGGAGCCGATCCCGCTCCAGCGCCGCCCGCAGCAACGGCTGCTCCGGGAAAAGAAGGGGAAAATCAGGGGAAATAACCGGGAAATCAGGGGGAAATAACGGGGAAATAACGGGGAAATCACGGGGAAATAACGGGGAAATAACCGGGAAATAACGGGGAAATCACGGGGAAATCACGGGGAAATAACGGGGAAATAACAGGGAAATAACAGGGAAAAAACAGGGAAATAACGGGGAAATAATGGGGAAAATAACGGGGAAATAACCGGGAAATCACGGGGAAATAACGGGGAAAATAACGGGGAAATAATGGGGAAAATAATGGGGAAATAACGGGGAAATAACGGGTAAAAAAGGGGAAAAATAATGGGAAAGAAACGGGAAAGAAATGGGAAAATATCAGGGAAAAAACGGGGAAAAATAACGGGAAAAAATGGGAAAATAACGGGAAAAAAACGGGAAAAAAACAGGGAAATAACGGGAAAATAACGGGAAAATAAGGGGACAGTAACGGGAAAATAACGGGGAAATAAGGGGAAAATAACGGGGAAAAAATGGGGAAATAATGGGAAAAAAACGGGAAAATAACGGGAAAAAAAGGGAAAATAACGGGAAAAAAGCGAGGGGAAATGATGGGAAAAAAAGGGGAAAAATAACGGGAAAATAACGGGAAAAAAACAGGAAAATAACGGGGAAATAATGGGAAAAAAACGGGAAAATAACGGGAAAATAACGGGAAAAAAGCGGGGGGAAATAACGGGAAAAAATTTTCCAAAAAGGAATTTTCGTGGGAAAAAGGAGGAATTTTCATGGGAAAAAAGAGGAATTTTTGTGGGAAAAAAAAGAGGAATTTTCAGGAGAAAAAGGAAAAATTTCACTTGGAAAAAAGAGGAATTTTCATGGGAAAAAAGAGGAATTTTCATGGGAAAAAGAGGAATTTTCAGGGGAAAAAAGATGGAATTTCTCCCAGAGAAATCAATGAATCAATTAAAAATTAATGAACCGAAAACGAAAAGAATCAATTAAAAAATACTGAATTAAAAAAAAAGCATCAATTCAAAATTAATGAATTAAGATAAGAATCAATTTAAAAACGATGGGTTAAAAAATAAGAAACTTTAGTTTTAATTAATTTAAATAATAATCGATTAAAAAAATAACGAGCTAAAAATATTAATTAAAAAAAGAACGAAAAAAGCATAAAAAAAATTTAAAAAATTATTAATTGAAAGCACGACAAACCAAACAAAAAAATTAATTTTAAAATTACAAATTAAAAAGATGAATCAAAATAAAAAAAAAGTCTTACAATTAACTATTAAAAAACGAATTAAAGAATCTTAAAACTAATTAAAAAATCATTAACTAAGACAAAAACAATTAAAAAAATCACCAGCAGAAACGAGGACAAAATAAAAAAAAATTAAATAATTGAAAATAATCAATTAAGTAATTAAATTAATTAAATGGAATGAAAGCAAATAAATAAAATCAATTAAATCAATTGAGAATTAATCAACGGAGTAAATGAAATAAAAGAAATGAAATTAATTTTGTTTAATTAAATGAAATTAAAGTATATAAATAAATGAATGAATGAACAAGTAAATAAATGAATGAATTAATTAATTAATGGATAAATGAATAAATAAATAAATGAATGAGTAAATGAAGAAATAAATAAATGAATAAACGAATGAATAAATAAATAAATGAATAAATATCTGAATTAATGAATAAATAAATGAATAAATGAATGAATAAATTAATGAATAAATAAGTGAATAAATAAATGAATTAGTGAATAAATAAATGAATACATAAATGAATAAATAAATGAATAAATTAATGAATGAATAAATAAATGAATAAATAAACGAATAAATAAATGAATAAGTGAATGAATAAATTAATGAATGAATAAATAAATGAATAAATAAATGAATTAATGAATGAATAAATGACTGAATAAATAAACTAATGAATTAATAAATGAATAAATGAATGAATAAATAAATTAATGAATAGATAAACAATGAATGAATAAGTAAATTAATGAATAGATAAATAAATGAATGAATAAAAATGAATAAATGAATGAATGAATAAATGAATGAATAATGAATAAATGAATTAATTAACAAATAAATAGATGAATAAATAAATAAATTAATGAATAAACGAATTAATTAACGAACAAATGAATGAATATATTAATTAATTAATTAATGGAGAAATAAATAAATAAATAAACAAATAAAAATTCATCAATTAAGGATTAATTAACCCTGAACTAACGAAGGGAGGGGCTCGGACTCACCTGGGCCAGGTAAGCCCCGAATCCGGTGGCCAAGGACGGAGCCTCGTAGGCCACGCCCAGCATGTCCACGTATCCCAGGAAACTGCGGAAAAGCGGGAATGAGCGCCGGGAACGGGAATGAGCGCCGGGAACGGGAATGAGCGCCGGGAACGGGAATGCCGCGGGAATGAGCGCCGGGAACGGGAATGAGCGCCGGGAATGAGCGCCGGGAACGGGAATGAGCGCCGGGAACGGGAATGAGCGCCGGGAACGGGAATGAGCGCCGGGAACGGGAATTCCATGGGAATGAGCGCCGGGAACGGGAATTCCATGGGAATGAGCGCCGGGAACGGGAATGCCGCGGGAATGAGCGCCGGGAACGGGAATGCCGCGGGAATGAGCGCCGGGAACGGGAATGAGCGCCGGGAACGGGAATGCCG